ATATATATAGATATTTGTAAAGATAATATTATACATATAGTATATATACGTTCAAGTTCGGAGCCTACATCAGCAACTATCGATAGTACAGATTCTAACATCGGTATAGTAGGAACCAGCAATGAAGTAACTTACTTGTACTTGGTCTTGCCGTCCCAAATCTCCGCCGAAATCTTTCTCTGACTGAACCAACGGCCGTTTAGAAGTTGCACACAAGCTTGCGCCTCTGCCGGTTCTCGGAATGTAACTTGCGCTACTCCTTCGGGATGTCTCTGAAAGAAGAAAAAAATGCAGGGTGATCCACAAAGTGTGCAAATCAAACACAGATCGTTCGAATCTATTGAATCATGTTCAACAACGTATCATTTGTTGTTAGACATAAAATAAAATGTAGAAAAATATTTTAATACAAACATTTTTTAATAAAAAAACTGAATTAAAATTTATTACTTCGATAAAAACTTAATACTTTAATTCTATTTTTTTGAATAATTGGTAGATTTATAATTCAGCTAAAACATGGATGTTTTTATATCTTTTTTAGTCTTTAATATAATTTTATCGAATCATACAGATTGAAATAACAGCTCGTTTGTTAGAATCAATATATTAAAAATAAAATTAAAAGTAAAAAATAATTTAATAAAAAATTAAAATTTATTACTTCAATTAAAATTTACTTCGGATTTGTTAAATATAATTGGTAGATTTATAAGTTCAACTAATTCATAGATGTTTCTATATGTTTTTTACATTGTGTAAATTTTTTCGTGTGTCGTTACTCCCTATTTTAGATATAGTCGAATACTTTGTTTAATAAAACAAAATTTATGTACAAGCAAATCAATTGATTTTATTTTTAATAATAATTCAATGCAATTTTCAATGCAAAAATGTTAAAACAACATCCAAATTTATATTTGTATGTTTTGTTTTGTTCTATTTACGGAAGAATCGCGGATGCGCATTTTAGATTTCCATAAGACTATCAAGAAACATCCTTTGATCCGCCGCTCTAACAAACCATACTTTACGACAAGCACAACAGCAAAGGGAAATGATTTACCGAAAACATATTGGCGGTAACACGTGTACCAAGGACGAGAAAAAATGACAATGAAATGCCTATGGTAAATTAGATTGCAGAACATGAAATTCTACGCGTGATTTTAGAGCCGGAGTTATTTCCTGTTTCGTGCACTCAACAGATACAGTGGAACGAGATTATATTAAGTTTCACAAGATTTTTGTTTTGCAAAAATTAATCAGAACCAATTTTAATAGTAAAAAACCCATTATCATATATTTTTCGATATATTTTGTGCTAATTTTTTATATTCGAATATATAAAAGTCAAATATTTTATTTATTAAAACCTATATACAATAAGGGCAAAAAAATATTCATACACAAGGAAATTTTTTATATAAAAAATTTTTTTTGTATAAAATAAACATTAATTAACCATTTTATAAAATAGCATTCCGTTCTAACAAAAGCAAATAAACTTCGCATGTATTCATGATTTTAGAAGCTAAATTTCTCGATTGTACGAATACTTTTTGAGCATTCAAACAATACAATTTTTAATTTTCGTTTATTTTTCAGATGATATATTTTCTATAATTAATATACATCTTTTTGATATATATAATTTAAAAAAACATACAATTTATTTTATTCTTTATAAATTAATTACTCAGCAAGAGATGATGTCAATTAAACGTCGACATTAAATTGGTGTCGAAAT